GCAGACTGGATGCTCCGAGCAAACCAAGGACTTGTTCTGGAACCTGCTCGATGAAAAGACAGCTGAAGTACCGTTACAAGAAGCCATAGTTGTCGCGAGTCCTCAACCTCAACCTCAACGGTCACGTGGGAGCTAAGAAAGACGTTATAGCAGCCATGGGGGCTTCGGATATGGGTCACGTAACCTGGTGGCTAGCGAATTCTCGAATATGCAGACTCGCTTAATCTCGTCACTGCAAACACGAGATTTCGCCGACGTGACTCTCACCTCATCACCTTCTACAGCGGTGAGAACAGAACGCAAATTGACTTTGTCCTTGTCAGGCACCGCCATCAAGGGCTCGAAACAGAGGCGAAGACAGTTCCCTATGAAACGGCCGCAACACAACATCGACCGCTGATTTGTACGTTAAAGATCGCCCCGCCGAAACCGAAATTAGCAGAAAGGTGTGGGCTAGCGACGATCAAGTGGTGGCGACTGAAGGAGAAAGAAGCGACCGTCGTTTCCAGCATTCTATCACCAGCGGTAACGATTGTCGTTGAACCTTGGAAGGGAGCTGCGGAAGCGTAAACCCGGGTCGCACGGTCGAAGCTCGGTATGACCAAGTGGACGGCGAAAGCTCGGTGAGCAAACACGGCTGTGGGCGGACTATGCGAGAGATAAAGTCCGTAAAAAGAAAAAGCAGTACCATGCATTTATTATCGAAAAGACGGCTGACAACTGGCAGCGCCATCAGATAGCGAATAAAGAGGTGATGAAGGCCGTTGCTTCTGAGAAGGCAGCTTGTTATGCCGATCTTAATAAGAAACTCGAGTTTCGTGATGGTGAGCGGTACGTTCACCTGCAAAGACCTGCAACCGCCAGACTGAGGATATAGAAAAAAAATCTCCGGCATAAATGACGAGAAGTTCACCTCTTAGCAGACCGTAGGCAAACACTGAAACGATAGGAGAGAACTTTGCAAACATCTCAGCAGTCAAATTCGCTTATCCCGCCATCCCCTGCGCTCCGCCAGTACACGGTCCTGTTCAGAAGATAATCGTGAATGAGACCATTACGGCTTTGAAGGCAAAGCAACTGGTTGCAGAGACGAAGGTGCCTGAGAGCTGGCAACAGAGCACAGGGGAAAGAATGGAGCAGAAAAGAAGGAGAGCAGCTTTGTGGATTGCACTTGCTACTGTCCAATCGCTTGCTCTCGCACAACATGAAATTTTTGAGCGATTCGTGAATAGTCGTATCCATGATGTCGTCGAGCTGACCACGAACCAGTGTGGTTTCGTGGCTGTTTGTAGCACCATCGATGCCATACATGCCACTCGCCCTCTTCTAGAAAAGCATCGCAAGAAACGAAGACCGGTGCATCTTGCCTTTTTAGACTTGGAGAAGGCTTTCGATCGCGTTCCGCGTGACGTCTAGCGACAGCATGGCGTACCCGAAGAGCTTATCGAGTGGGTACGCATCTTTTACCCTAGTCCAAGGAGCCGTGTGCAAACGGCAGCGGGCACATCGGAGTATTTTTCCATCTCTCTTGAAGTACGCCAAGGCTCTGCATTACCAGCACTATTATTTGTCGTTGTCATGGATACTATCACAAGAGACCTCCAGAAGCCAGCTCCATGGACTCTTCTTTATGCCGATATCGTGATGCTCGCCAGCGAATAAAAACGAATTTGGACAACAGGTGGAAGCCTGGTCCGACCGTTTGGCTATGTTCGGGCTTAGGTTGAACGTCAAAAAGACTGAGTACTCGAACACCGATCCGAGCGAGCCAGGCTCTATCGAGATGAATGGTGCTGAGCTCACACGGACAAGAACATTCAAATATCTTGGATCGGCGATTGCGTCTGACGGCAGCTTGGTTTTTGAACGGAATTCTCGCGTGAATGCAGCGTGGTTGAAGTGGCGCTCGATGACTGGCGTACTCTACGATAATAATATGCCTGAGCGTCTCAAATCCAAGACCTAGACAGCCGTCATCNAGTGGCGCTCGATGACTGGCGTACTCTACGATAATAATATGCCTGAGCGTCTCAAATCCAAGACCTAGACAACCGTCATCCGGCCGGTCGCAGTTTACGGCGCCGAATGCTGGCCTGCAACCAAAGAGGTTGAAGCCCGTGTCAGTGTGATGGAAACCAAAATGTAGCGGTGGACAGCCGGAGTAACACGCTTAGACCGTATAAGTAATGACGCCATCAGGGAGCGATTCGGTGTTGCGCCCATTGTCGATAAAATGCGCGAAGCTCGTCTACGATGGTATGGTCATACTCTCCGAGCAAAGAGCGACAGTGTCCGTAAGATTGGACTCAACCTTTACGCGTCCAGGAAGCGGCCTAGTGCACGTCTAAAGCAGCTCGATACGTTGCACGGAGACCTTAAAGCGGTCAACATCCACCCCGATCAAGCGTTCAATCCGGAGAAGTGGCGCCAAGATATCAGAAAAGCGGACAAAAGGTTATTGTTGAGAAAAGGAGGTTAGAGGAAGATTTCTATTTAAGCTCTGATCATTGAGACGTCCCATCCCTATGTTGTGGCTCAAAATCGCTGACATTAAGAATTAGAGTAAGTTGCACAACAGCATGTAGCGATATATAAAGCTGTTAGTTACCGCGACAATAGCGGTGAAGAATGTCATACAGTACCCAACATGTAGAGTATGTGAGGATACCTTTCTCACTACACCCGTAGTGATAAATATCAGTACGGAACGTTCTGAGATGACCAGCTGAAAGAGGATCTTATAGAAACATGCTCACCTTATATCGAGAACGCAAGTCACGAAACTGTAGTTTATTGGTTGAATTTAGCATTTTGACACGCAACTTTGGCTTTGATAGCTTAAACCCATCTTCTATAGTCTGTCTGTAGATTATATATTTCCAAGAGCATTCCTCCTGCTCAACAACATTCGTAAGTTGACTGAAGTACTCATAAAATTTCCATATTGGCCGATTGGTATGATGATGTTCAAGAACTTGCAAGGATTAGGAACTCGCCAGTTATGACCCCACTGCAGAACCGCTAGTGTAGCAGGATCGCAGGATTCCATCTATTTTTGCTTCTTCTTTATAGGACAAATACCATTTTTTTTCATGTAGTGCTGCTTACCGTGAAAAACTCTGACCGATTAAGGCTGAACAACCTATCAGCGTATTTCAGTAAAACAGCACTAGGTTCAGCGAGCGCACTGAGAATAGCTCATACTATATTGGAAAGGGAAAACATCTGAAAGGATCGGCATGGTTGTCATTCTAGCGTTTGATTTGCTCTTCTTCGGAATATAAGTGGCTGGACGATTCTCACCGGTATGTCGAGTGCAAGCCCAACAGAGCTGCAAGCCTGTGAGTAGGAAAAGATATCTACAGGGTGCGACAAAAATTCTGGCAACGGTAAATATACCCGTAAAAACGGTCAAATCATCGATACACGATAGAACTTCAACAGCATTTACCCACAGCTATGCAGATTACAGAAACAAACTAGATCTCGAAATAGCCTACTTTTGCGGGAATACAAGCCGAAAGTCTCCTGGAAAACGCGTCGACGGCGGCACGGAGGTAGTCTTTGGCCAATCCTCCCATGCTTTAACGAGGGTTTCACGTGAGCATCCAACTTCATTGCTGGGTAGAATAGGCTTTCCTCTTGAAAAATGACCAAACGGAGTAGTCCAAAGGATTAAAGTCTGGACTGTTTGGGGACCAATCGTTCGACGAGATGAAGTCGGGGAAGTGCGCTGCGCACCAGTCCTGTACCGATGTGATTGCCCCAAAGACCATCAACGACTTGGGGTGTCCAAATTGCTGAGCAAAACCTCCATGTTAGCTGGCTTCTGCAGAGCTTCCCGCTATTATTCTATCATTTTCGGTGTTCAGGAATTGACCTGTTGAAAACAGACATTCGTCAGTGAAAAGGATGTTGGTGAACCGTGCATGCGAAAATCGCTTTAAAAGCTTCTTACATCTTGCGAGCTTCATACGCTCAGTTAGCAGTGAGCTTTTCTGATCTTATAAGAGCGAAGTCGAAGGTCCCTGGTGACAATCCTTCTAACAGATCGAGCAGAAATACCCGCCTCAAGAGCCGATTTTCTCTCGAATAATTTTCACGATCTCCTTTAATGTTGCGCTCTTCGGTCTTCAGTTCCTAGGCTTGTCCTCCAGAAATCCTGTCGCCTTGTATCTGTTGACGTTGTCGTACACGGTTCTTAAGAGAATCTGGAGCTGCTCGGAGATGGTCTTTGCAGTGCATCTAACCAGATGGAGGTGCAGGATGGAGGGTCGTTGGTCTTTGCTTGTCACCATTTTGTAAAATGGCATATTCAAGAAAGGCCAATTTATGGAATGTGTAAAAGAAGACCTGCAGAAAATAGTTGCACAGATTCTGTTGAGATGGAAGGCTTCATTTTTTATAGAACACCTGGAACGGGCATTTGCCAGAATTTTTGCCGC